TATCAGGTGCAGTTGTTACAGGGGTTGGCATCTTGATCTAAAAATAGATTATTAAGTAGGTTTTTTGAGAAAATTTGATTTGTTTAGGGATTTCTAGACTAGTTAGAAAAGTTTGAAAAAGAGTTTAGGCTACAGATAGGCTGATTGGATGTTTAGGAAATTCTAATGGGTCTCAAAAAAGTGAAATTTTCGGGACAACCCAGTAAGTTTTCCTAAAATTGCCAGTGAAAAAACCTGCAAAGAGCAAGTTTTTGTTTTTGCTTTTTGCTTGTATCTCAGTAAGTTTTGATCTGATTTTAACAAATTATATATTAAAATGTGGTCTCAGTGAGCTGAACAACTTTTGAATAGATAAGAAGATATATTTAATTAGTAAAATTATGTATAAATGGACAAAAACCAAAACTGTATTTTTAGAACTTTTCTCAGCAACCAAGTTTTATTAGAAAATAAATCACAGCTGACTAGAAGGAGAAAAGTGTGCTGAACAATGTTACTTAAGAGGTCAAGTAAGGTTTACTTAATAGAATGTTGAAAAATAATTAAATGTTTTTTTTATAGTTTTGGTATAAGTGATCTATGGAAAGAGTTGCCTTGTAATCTTTAATTTAATTTTGTTTGTTTTCATCTCATACTTTCCAATAAATAATATGAAATAGTGCAAAAGTAAATTACAGAAGAGAGGAGGTATAGGTCCCATAGCTTAGCAGTTAAGCTCTCATACTCTTTATAGTCAAGGTTAATGGTTCAAGTCTGGCTAGAGGCAAAATTGAAAGATTTTAGCTTTTGTAACCTAATAAAGAGTCTGTAATTGAATGCGAAGCCCTGTGGTTAAAGTTCAAGAGCAGTACAATGATGGAAGTCAAAATTTCTGAAAGGAGACCTAATCGTGGAGTGGAGACACTATGTGTAACAAGTAGTTGTTACAGAAGGTTACAGTTATAAAAGGATTGTACATATAAGTTCTTTAGACTAAAGCAGTACCAACATCCTTATACCTCCTAATATAGGTAGTATCAACATTCTTGCACCAACTTGTAGAGTACTTGCTTGGAAGAATAATCAATAGATTGTGCAAATAAGTCTTAATTGGAATTCAAGAAGAGAATTTGATTGAGAAAGTAATCTGAAAGTAATCAAGACTGGAATAGTGAGAGAAGCAGTAAACACAAAGATGAACTGTGATAAAGGATTAGTCTAACCAAAAATTAGAAGCACCTTTAGCATAGCTGAATAATCTAATTATAGAAAAAAAGATCTTGGAGATAGGCATATAACTTTCTTGTACAATGTAAAAGTACCAAATCAGGTTCTAGTCATACCTATATGGAAGTCTATGATGAATAAGACTAGAAATCAACCAACCAATGTGAGATAAGATCTGAAAGATAGTATGATATTACTGGGATCATTGTAACTCCCTGGACATAACCAGAATTGTCTTGCAGATATTGTTTAATAAACTGGCAGCCTGCAATATATATAGTATAATATCACTAGGATTGGTGAAACTCTTTAGATATAACCAGAATTGTTCTATTTATAAGTGCAACAAGTCTCAGTTTCTACTATAAAAGGAAGTACTATGCTGAAGGTTAAATGCAGCATCTAGTTACTGTATAATGCTAAGACCTAGGGCATTTGCAGGAACAGTAGCAGCAGATTTGGCTTGAGATATGGATTGGCAAAAAGACTAATAGCAATAGCAGATCTGGCTTGAGATACCGGTTCATTGCAGATTCTGAACCATTGTCAGAATACCTTAGAGAAAATAATAACAGGCATACCAAAGATGGGAAGATCATAAAGATCAGACATACCTAAGTAGAACCTATTTGGGAGAATACAGTAATAAAAAGGTGAGAAATATGAGGAACAAGATAATACTAGATATAGTTAGATTAGAAGACAGAAGAAACAAGTCCAGTTAAAACATGTAAATAGGACATATAGAAATAATTTACAGAAAACTGTACCTCTGGCATTTGGGATATTGCATTAAGTTCAGTAGATATTCTTGTCTATGTAGTGGTTTAATATATGTCATAATTGTAAGTAGTTATTAAGATAACTGCATGCAAGCATGCAGTGGATATGCACTTAGATGCCATAAAGATAACTGAGTGAAGTCAGTATTGTAAAATTAGATAGTATATAGTATTAGTAATAATTGATCCTAAAAATGTAACTATAAATTTGTACTAAATCAAAATTAAAGCTAATAAACCAACTTGCATTGTCGCCAAAGTTAAAAAAAAAAAAAAAAAGTTACAAAAGAGATAATTAATATATTCACATGCAGTTTTCCTATTGTGATTGAAATTTGCTTAATCTAATGTGATTAATTAAATTGAAATGTAAACTATTTGCCAAAACTTTATGTCAAAATATAAATTTAACTTTTGGCAAATCTGAGTAGCTATAAAAAAAGGCCTTGTGCACTAATAAATTTATTCATTAATGATGCCTCACCTTTTTGTTCAATTTTAAATTAATTATCTATATCTTTTTATAATAAATTAATTTTATTAGTTTTAAATTTGAACTTACATATGAGTGCTGCCAAAGAAAAATGAGATTTCGAGCCTCTAATTATATAATATACTGGACAAAAGCCCTGAAACTTTTGATAATAATAATATGCAATTAAAATTTAATTCATATTATCATTATATGCAGTTTTGTCCTTTCCCTGATCAAATTCTTTTGTCTAGTATATTATATAATTAGAAGTCTGAGGCCTTATTTTTCTTTGACAGCATTTATAAAAACCCCCAAAACTGATCAATTAATACCTAAATATTTAATTATAAATTTAAGCAACATATCATTGATCTTGTTGGCATTTTTGATGATGTTATATAAAAAAACTTGATTTATAAAAAAACACTAAATTATATATACATACTATATATATATACACTATATATATACTTAGTATATAATACACTTATTATGTTTATTAATTTTTCTATTTGTTTTGATTACTAATTAATATTGCATTAGTTTACGATGCTCATATATTAAAAAGATGACAACAAATAAATAAATTACCTAGAAAGTAGAGACACTTCACATATCAAAAGAAAACACATAAAGTTATTAAATTGCAGAATAAATCTACATTAAGAATGTGTAAAGAAGATGAGAACATCAGCCAGAAAACATATAAAGTTATTGAAGTACAGAATGAATCTATATTAAGAACATGCAAGGAAGATAAGAACATAGTCAGCAAACACATAAAGTTATTGAAATACTAAATAAATCCATATTAAGAACATGCAAGGAAAATGAGAACATTGGTTAACTAGCAAAAAAAGTACATTATAAAAATTCAAGAACTACAATCTGAAGGCAAAATAAAAAAAAAACAGAAAGAAAATAATAAAAATATAGAAAAAAAAATAATAATACATTATTTACTACTAAAACATTGAGTAATATGTTACTCAATGCTGAAGTATTAAGTAACATATTACTTAATACTAAAGTGTCAAGTAACATGTTGCTCAATGCTAAAGCATCGAGTAACATGTTACTTGATAATAAAACATCAAATGATATATTACTTGATGCTTTAGCATTAAGTAATATATTATTATCACAATCATGTAAGACTCCATCATTATCTGCTAATACTGCTTCAATTTTATGCATATATTTAAAAGATATTAATAAACAGTGTCAAATAAAAAAATTAACAAAAAGCAATGCATCAACATATGATTACTTATATCTATTAAGTATAAGCCAATATATCTAATTATTATTAGATAAACAGGGCAAATGAATGCTAGTTTTCAAGTTGCACAAACATTATAAAATAAAGGCAATTATATGTCAAGGTGTATCAGAAAATTGAGTGATAATTATATAGAATCTGAAAAACTTTTTTTTTATTATCAAGAAAAGTATAAAAAGTCCATAAGCTTGTTTGATAATAAGAATTTTTTAGATAGATGCCAAGAATGGCTGCAGCAACAATCTCCAGAA